AACTGGGGATTAAACTCAGGCCCTTGCACTTGCCAGGGAAATGCTTATTCTACTGAGCCATCTCCCTGGCCCCACAACTATATAATTTTGTGGACTGTTTTTTTACACTCAGTGTAATTCCAGGGAGCGCCATACAGATTTTTATGTATACAAATGATAAATTTCCTTTTATTGCTGAGTAGTATTCCACAGTACTGATGTCCCACAGTTTAACATGTAGATCGTTTGGTCAGTTTAGGTCTATGGAGAATAAAGCAAATGTAATTTTTTATTTTTTATTTATTTTTTTGCCAGCTCAGCCCACCCTCAGGGCAGGGCTGGCATGGCATGTGGTGCTGGGGATCAACCCGTGGTCCTCTGTGCCTAAGCAGGTGCTGAGCTATCTCACTGTCCAAATGTAAATATTTGCTTAGAAGTCTCTGCGAGCAGAAGCCTCCATACCTCTTTGATGAGTGGCTAGAAGCACATTAGTAGACTCATATAGTAGTTGCGTGTTTAGTTTTTAAATGGTGTGAGTTGTTTTCCAAAGCACTGGTAACATTTTAGCTTTCAACCAGAAATTTGTTATCTAGTTTTTGCGCTCATCACTCTTGTTTACTGGTTTCCTCCCTCTTATTTTGGTCATGGTGATAAATTAATACCCATATCTCCTTGTGGCTTTAACTTTCAATTTTTATTTTTAAAAATTTCATTTTTAATTTCTCTTTAATAACAACCGATGGTCAATATATTTTTGTATATTTAATTCTCATCTGTGTATACTTTTTGGTGCAGTGTTCAATAATGTTTTTGACCATGTTCTCCTTTTGTTTTTCAGTTGTTTGGAGAATTCTCTATGCATCTACATGCTAGCCTTCTTTTATTGCATATACAGTTTACAACAATTTCTTCTTCCAGTAGGTAGCCGGTGAAATTGAATGTTTGCAGCGTGTTCTGCAGAGCAAAATAAAAACATAAAATACAAAATTTTGATTACCCTCCTTGTGCCCAAGTATGATATTGATGTGTGTTCCCCCACTTCTGGCATAAAAAGAAGGCGTTCAGGGCCTTCTCGCTGAGGTCAGGGGAGACAAAGCCCTCCAAGTTGGAATGTGGCTGCTCTGAAGTGAAATCCAGGCTCTCAATAGACAGTTTTAAAGATTTGTTACCATGTATATTTATCAATAATTTACACTGATCATATGTTACAATGGTAAAGTCTTGGATATATTGGTTAATTGTTACAATCATATTCACCTGTCTCCTAATTGTTTTTTAAATGTGAATGATGGAATACTAAAAATTACACTTTTGCATCAAAATTAGGGAATTGTTTTAGGGAATTTTTTCCATTTCAAATCTTAAGCTATATCCTTACAAGACTAGAAACCAGGGGGCCAGGGAGATGGCTTAGCGGAATAAGTGCTTCCCTGCCAAGCGCAAGGGCCTGAATTCAATCCCCGGTTCCACCAAAATAAAAAAAAGACTAAAAACCAGATGAGAGAAATTTGAAAATAACTGTCACTATATTCTTTATAAGGAATTTTTTTTTTTTTTTTTTTTTCTCCTTGAATGCCTTCAGGGCACTTTTGCATGGCTGGAGTGTTGTGGGGATCGAACTACAGCAAACTGAGGCTGCCAGCATTGTGGAAGCAGCCACTTTAAGAACTGAGCTAGGGCTGGCCCCCACTATGTTCTTTTCATTTGGGAACAGCACACATATATGCAGATAGTAAATTGCTATGAGCTTTCACACAGGTTGAACGCAAACATCCCAGGGGTGGGCTGAGTCGCCACGTGAAGGAAGGTCTCACTTAAGAATAGCGTCAACAAGTCTCTGGGTTCAATACGCACCCCGCACAACAAAGGAAAACAGGAAAGCTGCCGCCGGGGACCGCTCTGGGGACCCCGCGCGCGTCCGCAGGCGGCGCGCCGCGCAGAGCCGACCTCGGGCCCCGCCCGGAGCGGAAGGGGCGGGCCGCGCGCGGGCCTTTGTGTGCGCCGCGAGCCATCTTGGGCTCCGTGCGCGTCCTTCTCTTCCGCCGCGCCGGCCCACGTGACGCCGCCTCGCTCCCTTTCGCCTTGTGACCTGCATCGGTGGCAGCTCCGCGGGGAGATCGCGGCGACCCCGGAAGCCGAAGATGGTGAGCGTGCGGCCTGGCGTCCAGAGGCCGGGAGGGGGCGACGCGGCCCCCGGGACGGGCCGTGGGGACCCGGCCTCCGCCTGCGCCCGAGGTCGGCGGGCCCGGCTCCTCCCGGCTCCTCCCGGCTCCTCCCGGCTCCTCCCGGCTCCTCCCGGCTCCTCCCGGCTCCTCCCGGCTGCCCGCCCCGGAGGGGACCATCAGCGCGCCGGGACCCCGGGCCTGGGTGCGGCTGG